GGAGGTCAGCGGCACTCAGAGATCACCTCTTTTAAGTCAGCTCATTTCAAATATAAAGGGGAGTCTTTATGAGCGTTATGACTGTTGAGGTGCATAGTTGCAACCCCGCATCCGTACAATCAGGCCCGGCCAAAGAGTGTGCAGGGCCCAGTGCAGCACACTGAATCATATGTGGCTCCTAGCTAGGTGGGCGGGGCCGGAGCTGGGCAGCGCGAGGCCCTGAATGCACAAGGCCCAAGGCAACTGCCTCACTTTCCTTGCCCAAAGGCCGGGCCTGCGTACAGTGCAGGGCCAGCTCCCCTCAGCATATGTTATTAAGTACGGGCAAACAGTAAAAACCGCTAAGCTGAAGGTAACTCAACATTAATGGGGTTGTTTGTGTGCGGGTGAGATACTGCTTGTCCCCTCCATAGAGAAACCCACAGGGGATGTCTCAGAAAGGTACAGGATCCCCTAAATTGTAATGTCAGAGGTATGGGGACTGCCTTGAAATCTAGCAGAGATCCCCAGCCATGCACATTGATTCTACCCCATATTGGCCCTCTGTCTTCTTGGCAGCACAGCTCTAGGAGAGCTGCACCCCCAGGGCTTTTGGGGGCTGGGAGCTGGAGCTTGGCACCCTTGGCATTCTTACCTTGTTTGATTAGTTTTGCAGGACCAGACTAGGGGAGGATTTGTTTCCCCTCCTGCTCTACCTTGACCTCTCCATTCCCTTACCCAAGGCAGACGAGTCTTCCTCTGCTTCTCCAGCTGTGTGGACACTGCATAGAGATGCAATGTCAGGACAGGGAGGTTTAGTGCTGTGGAGATGACTAAGTCTTCCTTCTGTGTGGAAGTGGAGAGATCTGCATATGACAGTTCCCCTCCTAGAGTGGCTTTATGAGACATGATTTGCCTACAGAAACCCACTGAAGTCTAGGGGTGGGGAAAGAGAGGTGAAGGTTGTTTCCCAGTTGCAATCTCATCCTAGATGACTTGGTGATCCGAGTGACCAGCACTGATTTTCATGAGTGTGGTGGGCACGTAATTCTTGTCAAGAGTGACTGAGCTACTTGGCTATCACAAGCTGAGCCTTGCTAAAACCTTAACTACATTTCAGTCTAATAAACTTCTTATATTTGACCTGGTAACTGTGTCCTTTGCCTGAGGGAAATGTTGTCGAATGAGAAACAGAAATCTCACTAACAATATCAACTGCGCACAACAACACTCTTAGTTTTTTGATAGAAAAATTCATTATGCTTCTACAAGAAAATTAAAACAAAAAGGACTGGGCAAGCTTCATGCATTAGCTACCAAGAACAATGCAAAAGGAGTTTCATGTTTCCCCTTTCTTGTCTTGTCCCTCGTACCTTTTTCAGGTTTTGGTCCTGTGAATTTGAAGTTTTGTCTCTGTCTGTGTATCAGTGACTGTTGGCTGTGGTGCCAAAAGTCTGGCCTTTTTGCAATAAAAAAGGACTTGCTGGGGAGGGGGAAAGAAAGAAAAATAAAACAAATGTGCAGGACCAAATATTTTGGCTAAGAAGTAAGCCCAAGGAAATTTGGATGCAGTGTCTGTTTATTGCAAACCTTTAGTACAAAAGGTCACAGATATAGATACTGGAAGAGTCTGTTTCTTTACATTTTGCTTAGTGTCACGCAAAGCACATACGCCTCTGTATCACTCTGCAAATTCCTTGCTTTTATGGCTAGCAGCATAGATAGACGGGAACCATGTAAATATCCTTAGAGAACACTCCACCAGGGATCTCTGCATGATCTTTTTTCTTTTCGGACCGGATCCAACTCCCACTAAAGTCATTGGGAAGACTCCCTTTGGGTTCCGTGGGAGTTGGCCTAGGCCCTTACTGGATACATGATATGGGCATATTAGGATGCAGTATGAATGTTATTTATATTGGACTTGATCATGCAGTTTGCAGAAATACACAGAGCTACATGTTACTAATTGAGTTCCCAAGTCACATAGTGTACCCAGAGAAGATATAGACCGTGTCCCAAAGCAGATGGGAAGTAATAATGCTTTGTACTTCCTGGGTGCCTTTTAGCTTTCCAAATATTAGTGAGTTAGGCATCAAAATGCCCCTGAGAGGCAGGTGAGGGATGGTTGGCTCTGGATCATTTCACCCAGCAGTAGAATGCAGCAGCTGTTTACAGTGTAGATTAACAGCTCCCCTCACAATGGGTCAGTTTAGGAAGTGAATAATACTCCTCTATCTTGTTGAGGGTGCAGGGGGAATTTAGTGAGGCAGAATTTAATTGCCTCTACTGGAGTCTAGCCAAGACCTGCCACCCCCTTCCTTTTATTAAATTTGCCACGGGATCTAAAACTGCCTCAGCTGTGTATCTCACTCACCATGACACCATGCTGGGTCTTTGGCTCAGAGCTGACTCAGGGGAAGAGCACAACTTACTGACTCTCTAATGGTTATCTCCTGCAGGGCTCCTTCCTGGTCCCTCATTTAGATTTCAATCTGGCCTGACCTAGTTGTCTCGTGAGATCTTACTTGGTCACATCACAAGTGGGTACCAACAGCCATTTAGGGGAAAAATGGATCCTTGCTTCATCTCAGTGGGATGGGATTAGCATTGCTTGGTTGGTAGAATTCTCACCTCTCCACCAGAAGGCGTTGGGTCTCGCTGTTCCCAGGCTGCTTGCAACTCTGACAGTACACTGCAGTGCTGAGTGGGAGAATTCAGCACGAGAGTTGTGGTCATTTAGAGGAGACATTAAAAGAATCCCATCCCTCCAGGGTGACGCTGTGTTCTTGAATTTTGAATTCCTTTGTACTTCCCACTGTTCCTTCTGTTCAACCTCCTACCCCCCTGCAATACACGTGTTATAAGGTCTCCAACTCCCACTGACTTCAAGGAGTGCAGGATTGGGCCCCGAGTGTCCTTTTCTCTTATTCTGTGATGCATAGATGCTTTGTTTACCTAAACTGTCACTTTGGTAATGGTGATCTTGTTTATTAAGGTAAAGCTCTTTACCTTATGTCAAGGTCTCACTTCATGTCTTTAGAGCAAAAGCAGCAGTATAACACCAGTTCTCTTCTGTTGGTTATTTTCTGATGCATATGTAATTCTAGAGTACAAAAATGTTAAATCTAACACCAGCTAGATACAATTTGAGTTTAATGCCTTGCATAATCTATTGATTCTGTTTAAATCATCACCAGATGCAATTTATTATAAAACTAAACTGTTTTTATGACCACTATAAATGGTTGTTTCATCTGATTCAGTTTATTAATGTATAACAGGGGCTAGCTCCAGACAGAAAAGAAAAATGATCGATCAAGAAAGTTTTGGAATTAAGACTTTAAAGATCCATACTAGATCTATATGTGATATTTAGAAATAGATCTGAAAGGACTTATGTGATGTGCTTTAATCAAATCTTGAAAAGAAATTGGTCAATAAATCAAATCTTGAAAATAAATTGACCAGTAAATCAAATCTGGAAATGAAAGTGACAGATAAATCAAATCTAACAAAGAAAACAACCAATATATCAAATTCACGATCTCGTTATTAAAATAAAGAATTGCTTTGTATGTGACTTTAATTCAGTTTGCTACAATCATGTTAATTAAGTGCGTGAAATCCTTCAATAACAAACTGTATGTATATATGCAGGCAGATATATGCACTCAGATATATGCACATATATTTAGAAAATATACATATCTCTTTGCTGTTTTGGAGATATACTCACACACGTACTGTATGTATTTATTTAAATCTATCAGATGTGTCTAAATATGAAAGTTCACCATTTTAATATTTGTACATTACCAGAATTCCAACCTTAATAAAATGGCAATTGCTACTACAACCCAGATTTTAAGAATGACCAGAGATATCTTGTCCTGAAAGCATTCTGCTGTTATATTTTTATTCTGATTACATATAAGCAACAACACAAACTTCTTTGGCTAATTCTCAGAATTTGACAGACAGCTCAGGCCCAACGAATATTTTCAAGATCAAGACTATAAAAATCCCACTATGAAAAAAAAATCATCATTTGCCTCACTGACTTTGATTTACATCTACGTTACAGAGCCATGAAATTTAAAATAAGATGACCTAAATTGTCCTGTAATAATGTGGGCATGGACGTGTACTCATGAACATGGTAGAGCTTCTCTGTCCCTGTACCAAATGAAATTTAGTTTTTAGTGCCAATCAGTTAGGCATCGTTAACCCTTTGAGAGTGTTATTAGCATTCCCACGCAGCTTTTCATCATGTAACAAATGTTTTCAGACTAAACTCGTTGAGGTCGAAGAAATTGCCTCTAAGATTTAGGACTTCTTTGTCCTCTGCAATGGTGTACGTATCTTTCCCACCATACCAAATTCAACTTATTAGCATAGGTTGTAAAAAGCTTGTAAAAATGTAGAATTAAAGTTAAAAATCAATCTGTCTGTAATATTCCTCACCTTGGAAGATGGAAATGTGTCCCTACCCTTGCCTCTTTTACTATACAGTAAGGAGAATGCTTTGTTCATGTACCATGGAGGATCCAAAGAATGAAAATGGTTTTGCATTTGCTCTGGCTATTGTATTATGCTGCTTTATTTGGATTATCCCTCCGCCCCCAGCTTTTGCAATAAGCACATGTTTGAATTTAATTGAAAAAAAGTTGCTTTCATGGTTGTTTATATGTTTCCAACCAAAGAAGCACCAGAAAAGCAGTCTGAATTTGGGAATGACGCACTACAGCTAGAGCGATCAGAGAAAGCATTTGGCTACTGGCTTCTCGAGTATTTGCCTACCTAGTTTGTTTGAATTAGCCTAGACTAAACCAATGTATTTACAGAAACAGCTTCAGCCAGTGGTCAGACATGTAAAGAATAATAACTGATTTAGTTGAGGCAAAAGTAATTATTCATGTGTTCCCCCAGCCTTACACGATTGAGTGTTGTCAAAATGGAGCATCTGTAACCCTGCTTTCTGTGTTATTTAAGCTTTCTGTCACTTTCCCTTTCAACAGATGCCATCTGGGTGACTTGTAGTGAAATAGAAAAGCCTGAAAAGTGATTGGAGAGACAAGAAAAAAGTTAAAAATTAATATCACGTTAGAAAAAGGAAAGCTGCCTGACATCTGATGGAATTTGCTTTCAATATTGAAACTACTTGAAGTGAGTGGCTTTTAAGTCTAAAATGCTTGGGTGACATTCATAGATTATGGTTATATCATGTGGCAGTACCTAGAAATTCCAAACAAGGGCAGGGCCACATTATGCTAGACTACCACTGTATGTACACCTAGTCAGAGACAGTCCCTGCCTTGAAGAACTAACAGTCTAAATGAGATCATGCCTTGGTTGAAAACATGAGACATTTCCACCCTCTCAAATTACATATTGATTTATTGCCTTTTAATCTTGCTTGTGTGGAAACTGTCTCTTGGGACATAAGTTGATCAGTCAGAAAGATACTCAAAATCTTCTAACACCTGGACACCTCTCCTAAGAATCTGAGGAGGAACTCTATCACAAATGAGGTATTCCCTATATGTTGCCAATTTATGGGAGGATTCCCTGAAAGCTAAACTTGCTGTAGTATTTTCCTCCGTAATTTCTGTTGCAGGCACTTGGGCCAATTTTCTCCTTAAAAGAGCATTGTGTACCATATTGGGTACCATATTGGTTAGGTGTGTCACGTGTGCCTCTTGTAGCAGGACTACTGACAGAATGAAACCCTACAAAAGGTAATATTTAAAGGCATCACTGCTGTAGCTTGTATAGTTTAGCTTGTGCTTTTGGATGCTGACGGTCCCAGGTTAAATTGTGGCTGATGGCCCATGATGTGAATCATTGCAGTGATCAGCATGGATTACCCACTACGAAGTGAGATACTCTACTATACAGTACAAGGGGGGGATGTTTGTGTCTCCAAACTGGTTGGCTAACTTGTCATGCTAAACTACAGGATGAAATTTTAGAAGGAAATGTATGTCAGAAAAGTCAAGTTGCCCCAATTACGGGACTGTCCGAGGACAATTTTAAAGGGCTCTGTGAACCTGTTGGGTACATATGTATTACCCCTCATACCCTGCACATCGGTGGGAAGAATTGAACCCAAGACCCTTGGAGCTTAGTACGTGAGCCTTTACCATTGGTTATTAGTTACTGGTGTCGAGCAGATTGATTGTTCTTTGTCTCTGAGGGTATTGTCTCTGCAATGAGGAGTAACAGTAGTTCGAATTAGGAGCTTTAATTCGAACTACCTAGTCTGTGCTGCGTGTAGCCGCGGGCAGGTAGTTTGAACTACGGGGCATTTAAAAATGGCAGCGCCCGGGAGCATGCAAATAAAGCCCGGGATATTTAAATCCCAGGCTGCATTTGCAAGTTCGAATGCCTACATTAGCCACCCTAGTTCGAACTAGGGTGGCAGTGTAGACATATCCTGTTAGTGGTCTCAGTGCCACTAGATGGGACAGTGCACCACAGCCAGAGAGTGTCTGAGTTACACATACCAACAGTAATCATGCAGTTTTAGCAGCAGAAGAGGTGGCAGTGGTGTTATATTGGGCTAAATCATGTCCCCTGAAGAACCTAGCAGTGGGCAATGAAAGTAGCACAAATAAGGGCTGGATCTGGGTAGCGCATGAGGAGCTGGGAAGCATAAGCTTAAGAGCAGCATTGGGCAACCTAGGCTAGTGAGTGGGCCGCAAGACTATTGTAACCAAGACGGTCTCCCAGGATAGGGTAGTTTTGCTAACTGCGTTTGCGTGCCTAGAATTTGTGAAATGTACTGTAGCAGCACTTTGATTGGAGGCAGAGGGAGTGCACGGCTCTTGTAGCCATTCTTGTGTGCAATCAGCACGTACCTCACTTCACATACCCTTGCTTTACATGCTCGTCACATTAGTAATACTGGTAAGAAAAAAATTACACTGACAGAAACCAGTGGAATTTGGCAACCCTATGCAAGGCCAAAGATAAACAAAATGTCTCCTGGGCCACACAGAACCCTGATGGGACACATGGCTTTTGCTCCACAGGTTGCCTGCCACTGCTTAAGAGGCATCATTTTCCCTCTTCTGCCAAAGTGGAGGAACCACCTCAGTGTAAACACTGTCAACAGGAATTTGGTGTGTTTGGGGTGAATAGGCTTGCCTTGGAACCTAACTACCATTTACAACATTGTTTCTATGGGAAAATAGGGTCCGAGTTCCAAACAACCAACTTACAAACAAAACTTTTGGAACACAGCCCATTTGTAAATTGGGGACTTCCTGCACTTGCCATATATTTTGACGTTCTTACTTTTGGCTCCTGCATTTCCAGATGCGCTCAGAAATCATGTGGAATTAAAAATAACAACTACAGTTCTCAAATATGGGCAAACAAAGCCTAAAAGTTGCAAGTGAATTAAGCCCCAAACATTATTTCTCTTAAGGGTTGGTTGTATTCAGGATATGTTGCCAACTAGTTTACTCCAAGTACAGAACGAACACGGAAACTTCTTAGAGAACGTTTGTGATCAGCTCCACCAATAGCTCCCTCCCTTTTTTTGTTCTTGTTGTCCGTGCAAACATTATTTGAACTTCATCACAGAGTGGCCGAGAGGGTTGAAAATGAATGGTGAAATTGGAGCGTGACAGAGAAAACACAATGAAATTATTGGGCATGTGGAGTACTCCTATTCAGCAGTGATATTTTTTCTCCTTAAAACATTGAGTTAAATGCATTTGCTTTTCTTCCCTTCAGGAGAATCCTATTTAATTTACTAGTGCAGGGGTTCTCAAACTTTGTGATACTGTGACCCCCTCTAAGTTGCTCACAACCTCCTGGGGGATCGGGACCCACAGTTTGAGAAATGCGGTACTAGTGAAAATGAGTTTGGAGCTGTCCGTTAAGAGCCTGGTCCAAATGCTGAAGCCAACACACTGCTTAGAACAATTGACAGACTGTGCTCCAGAAGGCTATAGGAACAGTGGTGCTGTGGGTCAAGAGGTGTTCTCAGGGCCTACTTAGATGAATAGTTAGTGTGCAGCAAGTTAGGGTGTAAATCTATAGTACATTACTGTGCCACACACCAACTGTTCATGTGGACCCCCATACTGCACACTAAAAGTTCCCTTCTGTATGTTGGCCTACTCCCATTTCAAACTGCACTAAGGAATGTTTAGTGTGCTGTTGTAGGGTGTCACACGATTAGTGTGTGGCATAATAGTGTGCTGTAGATTTACACTCCAGATTGCTGTGCACTAGTTCATCTAGAGAAGCCCACCAACAGAAAATGACATTTGCATTCATTGGCCATTTTGTAGGGAAGTATATGTAGCACATGATGGCTTGCTGTGTCCCATGCTATCTGTGCTTTTCTTTCATAGACACAAAGGCCCTCTTTCAAGCAGGAGTTTAATCACCTCTTTGAGTTAATCTCCATTGGCTTCAATAAAACTTAAGCTCATGCTCAAAGTTAAAGATTTTCCTGTCTGTGGATATTTCCTGAATCAGGGCCTAAACTCACATGCCAAAAAGGCTAATTTTTGACAATTGGGAGATGTTTGGTGCTCTGCCCTAGAGAGATGTTTTTTGATATAAAGCATTTTACATTGGAGGCAAATACGTAAAGTTTGTCTCTTGCTGTATATTGTCTTTGTTGTTACTCTTGGTAATCTTTATTTATCTCAGCAGAAGTGGGCATTTAGAAAGGTTCTAGTATTTTTGAAAAAAAGTGAATTGCCAGAAAATATCTGAGTAGTTTTAATTGAGCCTTTTTTGGCCTGATGAATTTCTAAAAGAAATTCAAACTCATGTGCAATAGAAATGAATTTATTTTTTGAATCTCTGGAAGTGAATTTAACCAATTTAAAGCATTATTGTGAATGTAATGAGGTCTCTGTGCTGACAGCTGGCACTTCAAATTTCATCATAATGCAGTCTGAAATGGCTAAAGCTAGAATTCAGTAAAGTAATCTGTCCAAATTCTATGCTTCACAAGGCCATGTTAGTTGCATGAGCTCAGTAAAACAAAGATTTCTCTGGTCTAGTATGGAAACAAGGAGTCTGGTGGCACTTTAAAGACTAACAAATTGATTAGAGTATTAGGGCATAAGCTTTTGTGAACTACAACTCACTTTTGGTTATGTCCTAATACCCTAATAAATTTGTTAGTCTTTAAAGTGCCATGGGATGCCTTGTCGGTTTGGGGCACATTTTGTTTTTAACTGAACCTGGCTTTTAAGATAATATGTCTGAAAATAAGTGTTTATTGTAAGATGCTTCTGATGAAAGGAGCAGCATACAAGTCATGTGCAACAGAACTGTAATCTGTTAGGTCTTACTCCATCTATCCCATTTCAGTCATGCCTAACTTGAATCTTTACCCAAAGCAGAAAGGAACCCAAACATCATACTTCTGGGGTTTGAAAAAAGTTTACTCAACTTTCTTGTTCTTTAGTTTTCATTTTTGCACTGCTTCAGCACTTCCAAACTGTATAGGGAAAACCAATCACATTTAATAGGGGTAAAACCAAGCCGGCTCTAGAAACCTAAAAACCGTCCTAAAAGCTTATATGACCAGACCCTCTGCAGATTTATATAATCATTTCCCCATTGACCTCAGTTGAAGATCTGGCCTTTATAACTGGCTTTTGGAATTATCCTATAGAAGTGATGTTGTATCAAAGAATCATAGGTTTGGAAGAGACCTCAGGAGGTCATCGAGTCCAACCCTTGCTAAAAGCAGGACTAATCCCAACTAAATCATTCCACCCAGGGCTTTGTCAACCCGGGATTTAAAAACCTCCAGGGATAGAGGTTCCACCTCCTCCTCAGGTAAAGCATTCCAGTGTTTCACCACCTTCCTAGTGAAATTAGTTTTTCCTAATATCCAACTTGGACCTCCCCTACTGCATCTTGGGACCATTGCTCCTCATTCTGTCATCTGTTACAACCGAGAACTGCTCAGTCGTGGTAGCTGCGTTGGACACAGGATATTAGAGAAACAAGCTGGCTGAAGTAGTATCTTTTAGTGGACCAGCTTCTGTGTGAGAGAGAGAGACAAGCTTTCAAGCTGAGACCTGAAAAAGAGCTCCATGCAAGCTCAAACACTTGTCTAGCTCACCAACAAAAGTTGGTCCAGTACAAGCTCATCCACCTCATCTGACCAAAATATCATGAAA